CAACCATATTAAAGTCTCTCAATAAAGCCTCTGATTGCATAATACTAAATATTCGTCACATGGAGCTGGTGCCTCTTGATTGCATTCACAATTTGTGCCCTACGTACTATCATAAAAGGTTCGTAGTCAGTAGCTCGGATATGAGACAACTAACATTTATTTAAATTTAATGCAATTGGATAAGAAGGCCATGGATTTTTGTGCTTATATTTGGACAATAATGATGATGACAGCACTAAAGCTAGCCTATACGATTGTTGGGAACTTGAGATTAGTTAGAAGATAATATTATGCCACATGATCATTAATTTCATCGCCCACATCGCTAATCGCGCCGCTGCACGTTGTGATACTTATTGGTTACCCACTTAATCATGCTTAATATTCTTCAATTAAAGCATAAAAAGATTCTCCATCAACCTGGGATTCTCTAATTGATACCTTTCCCTGCGTAAACCCGTGAATGGAGTATAAACATATAGTTAATGAGGGGAATTATTGGGAAAGATTGAAACGTGTGGATCCCATTGACATTGCCCAAGAATTAATTATGATATTACGTTGGCCTTTTAGGGTAACAGATGCCAGACCAAATCTCTAGTTTAACTCATCAAATCAAATAAAGAATAACCTTATTCTAATCATTCGAACTCAAAAAAAAAAAAAGACAAGATATGAGATGGGAAGAGAATAATAAGCATCACCTAACAGCAAACAAACACATTAAGATAATAACCATCGGTTCATTGAGGGTACGCTTATGAAAACATTATCTAGTAAATCTTGTCTACTAAGACAGTACTGATCGAAAAATAGTATAGTCAAGTTTTTATTCGCACGAAAATGAGGGTAAGATTTTTATATCTCCACCCTTGCTTCTATTAATGGGGCTTTGCCTTGTAAATCCTTGCGTGACTAGTATCTCTCTGTTTTATTTAATAAGGGAAAAAAGCCATAGAAAAGATATATACCGAGAGCTTTAAAAGAGATTGGGCGGGGAGCAACTGTATGAGGAATCAATGCATAGCAGAGGATAGCAAAACAACAGACGTTTAGGTCTCTGTGGCCACGCAGTGTCTGACCCTTTTCTTGTGCAACTTGGTAATTAAAAAGGTTACGGGACCTAAATTTGACGCCGCTCACTGTTTAACTCGATGTTAACCCCGTGCGTGCGAATTTCTTACCGTAGGACTAAATTTGTACTGTTGACCGGATCAATGAGGAGCTAGCTAGCTCACGATTTTTCACGGCTTTTTGTTGCAGCTTCCTGGACCGGGCCGCGATC